AAAAAATTAAATTTTAGTGCAAAAGAAAAAGAATTTGTGGAAATTGATTTTCTCAGAAAAAAATCACTAGAAAATTTTGCTTGTTGGATGCTTTGGCTTGATACCTACAAAGCACAAATATACAAAAACAAAGCAAATATTTTTGGTATTTTTATTAGAAGTTAGTCAACAACACATATACAAAATACACAACTAAGGTGCTTGGAGATCCCTCGAGAGAAAACTTAAAGATAGGGGAACAAACCCAAAGAGATAACCAACTTGAAAGTGTGATCTTGAAGTATTGATGTTATGAGATAATGAGAGATCCCAGGTGTAAAAATTGGGATATAACAGAGTAAGTCACAACCCTAATTGAGGAACGGTCACCTGAACTTCTTGATTCAAAATCCTAGCTTGTAAAAGAAACAAAACGAACAAGACATATTTTTGAATTTTGGTTAGAGGTTAGTGAAATATAAACCATAAAAGATATAAAAAAACAAATAGGTGCTTAGTGATCCCTGTAAAGGCAAACTCAAAGAGAAAGAGGGAAAGTAGTCAAGCTTATAATCTTGATGTGATACATAATGCAAAATGACATGGGATCTTAGGGGTAAAAATTAGGGTATGACTGACAGGGATTCAACATCCAGCGCCTGGATTTTTTAAGATTTCAATACATTTCACCACAGTTCTAGATTCCTACCATAGTGAGAGACTTAGCCCACAATATTTTACAACGGTCCTAGATTCCAACTGTGAAGATATGCTTATTTAAATTTATTATAACTTATGTTACATGCTTATTTCACAAACTACTCACTAAGAATATAACCTTTCTATCTAATTTAGAAATAAATAATATGACAAATTAAGTTATATTAGAAAAACAAATTACACTAATCAATATTGTACAACTTTTATACAACCTATTATCCATATTTTGCTTTTTAACGGCTAGAACTTGTTTCAATGCTTCTAATTCGTCTACTAACACTTCATTCACCTCTAGTTCATTATGCAAAATATTATTTACTTTGCAGACAAAATTAGAGGTGAAAAAAGAAGCGATAGTAGAAGAACAAGAAGCAATGAACTAAATTATAACTGTTAAAGAGTGAGATATGAATAATATACTGCAAAAAGCTCGTAAAACAATGATAAGTATAAGTTGTTTTCTAATATAACTTAATATCTCATATTATAATTTTCTAATTCAATTCAAAAGGTTATATATTCAATAAGGGGTTGGAAAAATACACAAACATTTAGGCAATGTACAAGGTATACCATTAATATTAACACAAACATTTACAATATACCTAAAAAAACATCAACAATAACATAAACATTTAAAACATACCTAAACAGACACATCAACAATAACACAAACATTAACCTTTATAAACTAAAACTAAAACTTACCTTAACAAAACAACAAGATACCTCAACAAAAAGATCAACATATTTCAACAAAAAGATCAACATATTTCAACATAAAGATAAAAGAACAAGATACACAAACAACAACAAACGATTTATGAGCTACACAAAATAACAAGATACACAAACAACAACATATAAGAGCTAAAAAACATCAATATACCTAAACAATAACATTCAATTTAACACAAACAACAAAACTATTTATGAGGTCAAAAAAATAATAAGATACACAAACGACAACATATATGAGCTAAACAATAACATTCATAATAACACAAACTACACCAAACAATTTATACAAAAATTACGACATACCTCAACAAAAACATCAAAATATTCCAAAAAAGACATCAAAAATATCACAACTCATAACATAAAAGGTGAAAACATCTCAAATACCTGAAATGATAAGAGGATGTCAAAGAAATGAGTTTGGTGTTTTCGTCTTGCATGTTGTGTAACAGATTTCCTTGATCAGTAAGAGTTGTAGAAGATATGTTGAAGTTTTGTGAAGAAATGGTGTGCAAAAGTTAATGGAGATTAGGATAATGCATGAGAGAGATGTTAGGGTTTTGTTTTATGATAGACGGATGTTATTTACTTAAACGAGAGAAATTTTGCTTATATATAGGTAACACATTTTACCACGGTTGATAAAAATGACTGTGACGAAATATTGGTATGTTTCACAATGATTTCTATTTTAGATCGTGGTGAAAGATATTTTAATTTTAATATAAATATAAAATTATAAGTGACACGTTCATTTATAACTAAAAAAAGAAAAATTGCAGGTGATAGGATTCGAAGCTTATCACCTTAGATACTTTTCATTATGGTTGTTTGGTTTGACTATGGTGAATTATATTTAAAAAAAATCACTTTCTAAATGCTAGAGACCAAAATAGTTAATCTAATATATAATAGAATCATTCATCTCCTTTTAGACGTTTGATTCTGGTTGCACAAGTGTATTTCTCTCGGATCTAAGCTATATAAGAAATTCAGTGCATAATTTTCTTTAATTAGAATAGGAATTGAAATTTTGCAACTTTACGAATGTGTAATTTAGATACATATAATAAATAATTTTCAATTAATAAAATTCTCCGTATCGATTCAATAGATGCATATAAATAAAATAGAATATGAACCTTAGAATATATGAATTAGTGAATCAAGTTTTATTAATTTGTCTAATATAATTTGCTCTTGACTCTACTTATTTTTGGTTCATGCTTATTAATATGAATTATTTCCTTTCTAAGTAATATTTGTTCCACTTTTGCATTGAAACAGACGCAGTTAAATTTTTTAGGGATTAATTAGCGTTAAATCTAGAATGAAGATACATAGTTGTAAGCGTAAAATATGTTAGATAATACTCTGCAATCTATCAGATAAAGAAAATTTTAAATTTTTATCATAATGAAAGATAATTCTTATGGGCCTTTAATCCAAAATATAATTAAATAAATAAAACAAATAAAACAAAAATTGTTGAAATTGTAGAAAATAGTAAAATATTATTTTTGGTTCTGAAACAACTCTAGTAGCTTAGAAAGCCACAAATAACGTCCCAGTAGTGAGATGGAATCATGGGCCAATTTCGTTTTCGAAAAGGTATAATACGAGTCATTTTGACATCGGATGCCAAACTTGCGCAAATTCTCCCGAACAGTTTCGACACGCGACTTCTCCTTCGATATGCGCAGCCAACTCTCCTATATCAATATCCTTCATCTATGAAGAACTCAACCTAGAGTTCTCTTCTTGATAAAGAGATTCATCTGACTGCAGCTTGTTGTAAGTACCAACTAGAAACTTATTCTTACGCAGAAACGCCATCACATCTACTCTCAGATTGAAAATTTTAAATTTCATGCGTTTATCTCGCATAGGAGGCAAATAATTTGGTAGCTCATCTTCAATGAACTCCTTGAAATCCTTTAGGACCCCTAGAACTTCTTCTAGAATTATACTCATCACCTCTTTAGTCATTACTTGACATAAAAATTTAGTTTCTTTAATAGCCTCATCAAACTCCTTTTCACATGTGTCATCACCAAGAAACTAGACTTCTTTCCTCTTGGATTCTTATCAAATTGAAAAACAGGAGTTATAGAAATTTTATGTGTAAACATCATCATGTTAAGGATATCATTATAAAACTGCCAAGGTCTACCAAGTAAAATATGACAAATATCCATACCAAGATTTCTATCTTTTACATCATTAATTTGCAAATGTTCCATCTCTTAATCCATGTCATGATTTTCACCTATGCTTATAAGCACATCAAAAGCTAGTAGCTTTTAATTTTTACTTAAAAGGCATTCTCCTCATATTTCAAAGCAACTGCAATTACAAAAGGATTTTCACTTACTTTAGTTTAAGAATCAAATTTAGTAGAAATACCATTAGGATTGAGCCGATTTTTGCAATTGATTATGAGACACTCATTCCATAAATGCCCTTTTGTATCTCATTCACATATACTTAATTCATCATCACCATAATTTACTTCAGTATTCTTTGATGCCCGTTTGACAATTTTGGACCTTGTCTCTTTAATAGAAACTGTCTCTAACTTCTTTAGTTTAGGAATTTTACTCCTAGGTTTGCAAGGTATAGAGCTTTCTGTAAGCTGTTTAAACTAAAAGCTTTTACCTGTAAAAATAAATCAATGAAAGGAGATGATTTTTATAGGCCTGATGATTTTACTATCCTTGTTTGATGCATTGTTTGACCCATTCTAGATGGTGAACGTATAACAAAAATTGGATTGTCCAAACTTTTCCACCCTAACTTTTCCTCCTCTTGTCTCTTCGTTGATTCACGCTGTTGTTGGCGTTGTTCACCTGAGTGCTAAATTCTCCATCTATTTCGTCAAAGCAGTTAGAGTCGCGGTAAAATCGTGATAATTCCCTCTCTGATTGCAGGTTGATCTACCATAGTTTTCAAGCTACAAAAAGAACAGGAGAAACCTGCTCTGATGCCCACTGACTACCCAAAAACTTTAGGGATTAACAAACGCTAAACCTAGAATGAAAATACAGGATTACAAGCGTAAACCCTAACAAATAAAGCTTTGGGATCCACTAGATAAAAAAAAGTTTGAATTTTATTATAATGAAAGATAATCCTTATTTCCACGCCAAAAGTATTTAAATACAGAAAACAAAGAAATTCTAATGGGCATTTAATCCAAAACAGAATTAAATGAATAAAACAAATAAAATAGAAATTGTTGAAATTGTAGAAAATAGTAAAATGTTGTTTTCGGGCCTGAAACACAATCTAATGGCACAAAAAGTCATAGACCTCTGCATTGCAATTTATTGAAACCGTGGGCCGATTCTCTTTCTAAAAAGATATAATACGAATCATTCTGACATCCGATGCTAAATTTACGCAAATTCTATCGAATCGTTTTGACACACTTGCCCGCAGTCAACCCTCCTACATCAGAACATTTAAATATAGTAAAAAAAATGGTATTTTTGTATTTTTACTTGAACCATTGCATCCGACATTTAGTTTCAATCTAAGAATATAATTTTACCTAGAAATCATGCAGCTTTGTAGACAAGTTCATCTTGATATGCTTCATTTGACATCAATACCTTAAGGTCTGCATTGGTTACTCTCTATAAAAAATAAAACATTAAAGTCAGATAGTAGGTACAAAGCCATCTCGAATAATCAATTTAAATGCAATAATATTTTCATTAGCCTCATATATAAACACAAATTGAATTAAACTAAGTTTGTTTCCAAAACAACCGTTTAGATAAGAAGTTAATTAAGGTCTTATTAAGTATAAGTTACTTTGGGGAGTTTTATATCAATTATTTAGAAAAAGCTTTCAATGTTAAAAATAGTTGATTAGTATAATTAAGTTTTATAAATTATTTCTAAATGCCTACAGAATCATTGACTCTTAAATCTATATTTATATTAATTCATAAGAGAAACGTAACTAGTTCTTAACCTTTTTTGTCCCAGCCAATAGCTTGAATTTCTTGAACAGAATCTCAAATTCATCAGCATTTAGTATATAACCAAGCTGAAATAACACATAATAATTTGTGAAACAAAGATAACAAACATATAATATATTTTTATTGTTTATCAATGAATGATGATTACCTCTTCAATTCTCTTTCTCAAAGCTTGACGTCCACTATTTATAATTAAGGTAAAATAATTAACAAAATAGAGAAAGTATTTCACAAATTTGTAGTTACTAATGAAATTAGTCATTTTCAAACTAAAAGCAAAATATAAAAGTATTCTTGGTTAATATATATATATATATATATATATATATATATATATATATATATATATATATATATATATATATATATATATATATATATATATATATATATATATATATATATATATATATATATATATATATATATATATATATATATATATATATATATATATATATATATATATATATATATATATATATATATATATATATATATATATATATATATATATATATATATATATAATTTTCTACTAAATCCATCGAAAGTTTATTTCATATATAATATCCTGAAAAGTTTATCGAAATTTAAATTTTTAAAATTGACTTAAATGTATTTTTAGTGTCTCTATTTTCACATTTTTTAAGTTTTAGTTCTCTAATTTAAAAAGTCAATTTTTTTATCCCTAAATTTTATTTCATTCGGAATTTCATTGATTCCTCTCTAATTTTGCATATGTGGTGTTCTTATTAATTTCATGACACTGATATAGTAACTCCACGTTAGATGTGTTGGAAATCCACCAATACACTATGATGAATTTCGACCACACCACTTGATGATAAGTTATGAAACAAACAAATAAAAGAACAATGGAGATATTTCTGCAGAATTTCTATTCTGCCCACAAACTGTGGAAACTTTATTAATTCACTTTGCAACTGCAAAATACTGTGAATGAGTTCAATGACTTGAATTACAAAATAAGGATTACTCCCTCTTATTTATAGATTTAGGTTAGCTTGCTCCCTAAGCTAAACCCAAGCCCAAAATATCTCTTTACTAAATCAAATCTAATTTAGATTTAAATTCAAATCTATTTAAATCTAAACAAATCAAATCTTATTTTGACACCTATGAATTACAATTTAACACACCACCTAATTCATTGTGTCTAAACTGTCTATGTTCATCATGGCCCTTAGCTTTCTGAATACTTCGACTTGCACTCCCTTCGTCATGATGTCTGCAATCTGATTCTCAGTTCTGCAGTGTTCCAAATTCATCTTCCCATCTGCTACCTGCTCTCGAAGATAATGGAACCTCATTTCGATGTGCTTACTTCGACCATGTGCTATTGGGTTCTTCGCCGGGTTGATAGCTGACATGTTGTCTATCTTCATGGTAATTGCTCCATGATTTTTCCCTGTTATCTCTTCGACCAAGTTCACCATCCAGGTTGCTAGGCATGCACAAAGAGAAGCAGCTATGTATTCTGCTTCGCATGATGATAATGCTACTACTGGTTCCTTTCTCGAACTCCAAGCAATTGTTGCACCACCTAGCATAAACACATATCCTGCTGTTGACTTTCGATCTTCAGCATCACTACACCAGCTCGAATCAGTGTATCCCACTAACTTGCATTCTTTTCCTTTATCAACTGTAGGAAACAAAATGCCATAATCGAAAGTTCCTTTGAGATACCTTAGTATCCTCTTCACAGCTGCTAGATGTGATACCTTTGGCTTCTGCATGAATCTACTTACCATACCTACACTGTATGCTAAGTCAGGCCTTGTATGACAAAGGTATCTCAATGATCCAATAAGTCTTCTGTATTGGGTTGGATCAACATCATCTTCATCTGCATCTTTCGACAGTTGCAGTCTTGGTTCTGCAGGTGTCGAAGTTGCATTGCATTCTTCCATCTCAAATCTTTTGAGAATTTCTCCTGCATATCTTCTTTGATGCATCATCAAACCTCTACTGCTCTTGTAGAATTCGATACCAAGGAAATATGAAATCTCACCCAAATCAGACATTTCGAATTCCTTGCTAAGGTCAACTTTGAAGTCTTCGATCTCACTTTTACAGCTACCTGTTATCAACAAATCATCTACATAGAGACATAGTATAAGCAATTTACTCTTGCTTCTTCTTACATATACTCCATGTTCAGTTATGCATTTCACAAATTCCTTCTCCCTTAGAAAACTATCAATTTTCTTATTCCAAGCCCTTGGAGCTTGTTTCAAACCATACATGGCTTTATGTAGCCTGTACACCTTTCTTTCTCCGTCATGTTTCACAAACCCAACTGGTTGTTTAACATAGACTTCTTCATCTAAGGGTCCATTTAGGAATGCACACTTCACGTCCATCTGACATATGTGCCAACTGTTGATTTCTGCTAGACCAACAACCAGCCTGATTGTTTCGATCCTAGCAACAGGTGCAAAAACTTCGTCGAAATCTATTCCTTCTTTCTGTAGAAATCCTTTCGCCACAAGTCTTGCTTTGTGTCGAGTTACTTCACCTTTCGAATTAGTCTTCACTTTGTATACCCACTTGACATCAATTGCCTTCTTGCCTTGAGGCAATTCAACAAGTGACCAAGTGTTGTTGTCTTCGATAGACTTTACTTCTTCGTTCATTGCTTTCACCCACTTCGAATCCTTTAATGCTTCAGCTGCATTAACAGGTTCGACATCTGCATAGAAAGCATAATGTACCAGCTCACCTTCATCATCTATTACATCATCTGATGTAATTACACAATCTTGCAATCTTGCAGGCATGCGTCTTGTTCTTTGAGGTCTGCTTGTACTGGGTATATCTGCTGGCTCCTCTTGTCGAACTTCTCTTTCGACTTGAGTTTCTGGCTCTTCGAATAAGATTCCCACTGAATCTTTCTTGACATTTGCAGTCCAATCCCATTCTTTGAACTCATCTATGATCACGTCCCTGCTGATCACAATCTTCTTGTTCTCTGGATCGAACAACTTGTAGCCTCCTGTCGAATGATATCCAACTAGGATCATTTGACTTGACTTGTCATCAAGTTTCTTTCTCAACTGATCTGGCACATGTCTATGTGCAATAGATCCAAATACTTTCAGATGACTTAAGCTAGGCTTCACACCAGACCAACATTCTTCTGGAGTAATTCCTTCTAGCTTCTTTGTAGGACTTCTGTTCAAAATGTATGTTGCAGTCGAAACAGCTTCACCCCAGAACTCTTTGGGTAAGTTCTTGCCTTTCAACATACTTCTCACCATGTTCATGATGGTTCGATTTTTCCTTTCTGCAATTCCATTTTGCTGTGGAGTATAGGGTGGCACCACCTCATGCACAATCCCTTCTTTTTCACATAATCTGTCGAAATCTTTCGACACATATTCTCCTCCACCATCAGTTCTCAAAACTTTGAGCTTTCGACCACTTTGTCTTTCGACCATGGACTTGAACTTGATAAATGCTTCGAACACTTCACTTTTCTTCTTAATTAGGTAAGTCCATAACTTTCGACTGAAATCATCTATGAATGTAACAAAGTATTTGTTACCTCCCATCGAATCCACCTGAATTGGTCCACATACATCAGAGTATATGACTTCGAGATTAGCCTTCGATCTGCTTCCTGCATCCTTGCTGAAGCTATTCTTGTGTTGCTTCGCCTGCACACATTCTTCACATACTTCGTTTGGAATATCAATTTCAGGCAATCCTGAAACCCTATTTCTTCTCTTCAAATCTCTGATGTCTCTGAAGTTGAGATGACCTAGTCTATAATGCCATATCCATTCATCTCTGCTAGCTGCAGTCGAAAGGCACTTGTGCTCCATCACATTTAGTTCAATCTTGAAGGTTCGATTCTGAGACATAGGAGCCTTCAAGATTAATCTCCCATTTGCATCAACAACCCTCATCAACTTATCTTCGATTGACACTTTATAATTCTTTTCAACCAACTGCCCTATACTGAGCAAATTGCTCTTCATACCTGGTATGTACAATACATTCGAAATTACTGACTTCTTGCCATCTTTCCTCATGATCATAACATCACCAATACCTTCAGCTGCTAGGGTGTTGTCATTTGCAAATTTTACTAAATTTTTCGTTGAGGGTTTTATGTTGACGAACCAGTCTTTCCTTCCAGACATATGTGATGAACATCCTGAATCCAAGTACCATTGGTCCTTGAATCTATCTTCATCTCTTGTTGTGACCATCAGCATCATCTCTTCTTCTTCTTCATGTTTTGCCAGCTTTTCATCACTTTCTTGATTCTTTCGTTTTTCTGGACAATCACTCGAATAGTGACCATACTTCTGACAATTGTAACATTGAATGTGACTCTTATCAGGTTTTCGACCACCGCCTCTTCCTCTGTTTGTAGCACCACCTCTTTGGTTGCCGTGGTGTGGTCTTCTTTGATTCGACACGTCTCCTTCGATTTGGTTTCCTCTGCCATTCGATTTGTTGTAGCCACCTCTACTTCTGTCGAAATACTTTCCTTTGCCTTTGGTCTCTTTTGCTGAATGTGCCTGCAAGGCCACATCACTCTTCGATTTTCCTGCAGCTCTTTCGTTCATTCTTTGTTCATGAGATTCGAGCGTCCCTTGAAGCTCTTCCTTTGTCAATTTCGACAAGTCTTTCCCTTCTTCTATCGCCACCACTATGTGGTCGAACTTAGGGGCTAAGGATCTCAGGATCTTCGAAACAACAGCTCTTGTTGTTAATGTTTCTCCACATGCCTTGATTTGATTCACTAGTTTTGTAACTCTAGTGAAGAAATCAGATATGTTTTCACTGTCTTCCATCTGAAGCAGTTCATAGGTCCTTTTGTGAGTTTGTAACCTCACTTCTTTCACCTTCTCAGCGCCTCCAAAAGATTTCTCCAGGATCTCCCAAGCTTCTTTTGCAGATTCTGAATCACTAATCTTTTCGAAGTTGTCTGGGCTGACACATTGGTGAATTATAAACAATGCTTTATAACTCTGCTTCTCAGATTCTGTATATTTCTTCTTTTCTTCTTCTGAAGCGTTTTCGCCAAGCGCTTCGACTCCATCTTTTACAAAGTCCCAAAGGCCTTGACACCTTAATAGGACTTTCATCTGCTTGCACCAATTCTCATAGTTGTCAACTTTCAGAATTGGCAGCGTTGCTGGATAGTTTGCATTCCCATAACTTGTCATCGTGAATTCTTCAATCGTTCTTGATTGATATTTCCCTTGAATCGAAACACAAGCTCTTGATACCAGATGTTGGAAATCCACCAATACACTATGATGAATTTCGACCACCACTTGATGATAAGTTATGAAACAAACAAATAAAAGAACAATGGAGATATTTCTGCAGAATTTCTATTCTGCCCACAAACTGTGGAAACTTTATTAATTCACTTTGCAACTGCAAAATACTGTGAATGAGTTCAATGACTTGAATTACAAAATAAGGATTACTCCCTCTTATTTATAGATTTAGGTTAGCTTGCTCCCTAAGCTAAACCCAAGCCTAAAATATCTCTTTACTAAATCAAATCTAATTTAGATTTAAATTCAAATCTATTTAAATCTAAACAAATCAAATCTTATTTTGATACCTATGAATTACAATTTAACAAGATGAATACACATTGTAGGAAGTTACAGTAGACGTTCCATGTTATTAATAAAGGCGTCACGTAGGAGTGTTCGTGGTCCGGTTTGGATCGGTTTTGAGACAAAATATCATCCGATCCAAAAATATATAAAGCATACAGTTTGGTTCGGTTTTTGGATGACAACAAGAAAAATCCAATCTAATCCAATCCAATTTATACGGTTTACTTCGGTTCGGTTGAATCGGTTTTATTCGGTTTTTAAATCAACACTATTTAGAAATTTAAAAAGAATATATTTCAATACCAGTTACAATTATGCCACCAACGCTTAGTGAGACAATATCTAATTGCTATGTTCATATGGCTATTTGATGTCATTATTGCAAAGTTTCATTATAATATATGTATAATATCTATCCCAACGAAATAAACATGGCTATAATATATAATATATAAAGAGATATGCTTAGTTCTTATATGGAGATTTGTATTATAAATTAAATATATGACAAATATATAAAACAGTGAACAAATGAAGATTCCAAAGCTATATTAAAGCGAATATAATAATAAAACTTCAAGTAAATGGAAGTAATATCGGTTCGGTTTGGACCAGTTCGGTTCTCATGAAGCCAACCGTAAACCGAATTGAACCGGTCGGTTATGCTACATGGTGATCCAAATACATCCAAAAAAATTCGTTTTTTTTAGATTTCAGTTTTTCGGTTCGGTTTTTAGATTTTTTTTAGATCGGATTGGATCTGAACACCTCTAGCGTCACGTATGCAAAATTATATGAAGACTCATAAAATTTTAAGTGAGGTAAAGTTTAGAGACTAAAAAATTAACTTTTAAAATAAAAAAACTAAAATTTAAAAAACTTAAAAAGAGAAAAATCAAAAATACATTTAAGCCTTTAAAATTTATCGACACTCATTATGTTATGCATTTTTATTAAATAGTACTAATTTTGATTTGGGTCTCTAAATAAGTTTTATGTACGAACCTAATACTAATAGATTTTTAATTTAAAATATAATATCCTAAATATAATTAGATAATTTATGAAGATAAACTATTTAATAATATTAGATGATTATAATGTTTTGTTAGAAATTAACTATGTTTTATTGAAGTAAGAGATTGGACCAACTATTAATATTATTGGATCCCACAAATAGTGACATAAAGACTAAATTGAAAAGTTATGGATGGGAAGAGATTGGGAGATTATGTATTGAAAAGTAAATGACATTAAAAGAGATGATTAAGTTACATGATGTATGACATTATAAACTTAATCAACCAATCAATCCCAATTCAATCAATCCTTGCATTCTAATTGGGAGCTTTTTCAAAATGTTGTTTATAAATTTTACATTTTAATTTGAAAAAGGGAAATATTATAAGTTGGTGTATTCAGTTGATTTATTTTGTTTATATATTCAGTTGATTTTTATTAATCACATTTTCTACCATGTCTTTTTTTTTGTGTGTGTGTGATTAAAATCTAAGGTTCAAACTATTTTAAATCCTTATAAAGTTCACGTAAACCAAATAATAGTTAGAAAAGGCAATTGACATACCTAAGCTTTCCTAATACAATACTAGTCTCAAGTGATCTTTCAAGACCAATATCTTCAGGAGATATTATTTCATATGTGCCTCTATGTTTTAACATCCCATCCTATAAAACATAAGATGTTAATTAAAAAAAAGTATATTTTATGTGTTCTTTTTTCATAAGTAATATTATATGTATTAATATCACAAATCAAACCTGGTGAATGCCACTCTCGTGAAGAAAAACATTAGCACCAACAAGAGCCTTGTGTGGTTGGAGAAGCATCCCAGAATACTCTTCAACCTATTTATAATAATTATGAAATTTGAATCGAAAACAGTAAATTATAAAATTTGAATCGAAAACAAGAAATTTGAAAAAGAATAATAAGAGTATCAAATATGTAACCATTTTGCTTGTCCTCAATATTTGTCTTGTAATAATTCCTGTATGAAGACCACCTAAGCTATCATTACCCCTGCATTTTAGGGCCATTACAACCTTAAATGTACAAAGAAAAATTGATAATTAGTAATAAAGTAATAAATTGAATAATAATTTAATTGAAAATCAGAGATGAGTATTAATAGAAATGATTATTTAGATAATTGTAGCAATGAAAAACTTAAACTCTCATGAACTTTTATTACAATGTTTATTATATTAAAATTAACTTTAAAAGTGACAATTTTAAAATAATGTTTGAGGTGTACCCGCAAAATAATAATATAATTAATAATAGGGCAAAATCTCTAGTCTAATATAAATAGCAGGAAATTGATGGAACATGTAACAAAAGCTACAACAAGACTCGGTACAAAATAAAACAAAAATACAACTACAAAAGCAAAAACAAATAAGTCACCACAAGTCAATGTCAAATAAGCCACCTTAAGAAACAACACCCTAAAAGATGAATAAATTAGAGCTCAAGTCAGTTAAATCACCAACACTGAATCAAGACCAACCAACGATGATGAAGAAAAAAGACACACACAATCTCAATTTTGTTGAAATCGCAGTCTACTATTAATCAATAGAATAAAATTTTTGAAGTTAGTATGTGAAGGTGCAAGAGTTCTCCGTTGATCGTCCTAAAAACCATTTTCAAGAAAATAAAATATTTTTCTCCTTCCTTTTTCCATTTTTGTTGAATAACTATAAAACACAATCTCATTTTAGACTATCCAAATAGTCCAAACCACAATGTATAAGATCATAAAAAAATCTCCCTTTGACTACCACCAAAAGAAAGAAAACTCTCAAAGAGAACTAGGATTTTTAGAAAGATGAATCTGTCACCCCCAAATAATTGAAAATTTAATACTAGAGACTACTTACAAAGTAGGATTTTTAGAAAGATCAATCTGTCACCCCAAATAATTGAAAATTTAATACTAGAGACTACTTACAAAGTCATAAGTGACAAACAAATGTGAAGCCGACTCAATAAAAACACCACAAATAGGACACAGGATAAGACCAGGATATCTAATAAATGAAGAAGTTCTTTTTATTGTTTAACTTTCCTACAATTCTGTGGAGATATTATTAGTAATAATGATAGTAATAAAAAGTAGAAGATCAACTCACCTCTTCTAATGAAGCATTCCCTGCCCTCTCACCAATTCCATTGATTGTAACTTCTAATTGTCTAGCACCTGCACGTGCACCCTGAAACAAGAGAATGAATAGATGAAATTCAGATATTTTATGTTTACGAAGAACAAATTGAATGGTAGAATTATGGTTTTATGGCAATGACCTCTATAGTGTTGGCAGTAGCAAGTCCAAGATCATTGTGACAATGAGTTGCAATGATAACATTTTCAATTCCAGGAGTATTCTTTTTTATATCAGCAATGAATTTTCCATATTCAAATGGCATTGTTACGCCTACAGTGTCGGGTATGACTACAGTGGTTGCCCCGACTTTAATAACTTCTTCCAAAACTTGATAAAGGAATTGCTTCTCCGATCTAATTCCACAATGCACAAGCATAAATAAACATATACCAAAATAGTATTCTCAAAAAATCAAGTTATGTTGGGTAATATAACCTGGTAGCATCTTCCGCAGCAAATGAGATATCACTGCAACCTAAACTCTGTGCAAACTTCACCGTATCACGAGCCATATTGAGTACCTCATCTTTCGTCTTTCTAAGTTTGTATTCCATGTGAATGGGACTAGTGGCTATAAAAGCACATATTCTTGGCTTTTTTGCATGTTTTATGGCCTCCCATGTAATGGCAACCTCCTTCTTATTGCACCTACACACACCACCTATAACAGGAACATAACCATCATTATCAACATCATTGCCAACATCTTCAGCTATCATTTTAACCGCATTGAAGTCATCACTGGAAGCAGAAGGGAACCCTGCCTCTATGATATCAACGCGTAGCTTTACTAGTAAGCGTGCAATCTCGAGCTTCTCTTTGCAAGACATTGCGGCACCAGGGGATTGTTCGCCGTCACGGAGGGTGGTATCCAATATTCGAACGTAGTTTGGTATAGGAATTTGGTTTTGAATTGGTAAAAGACTATCGTTTGGTGCCATAGGAGATTTTTGAGTTGTTGAAAACTATACTCGGTGAAATTGATATGTTTTGCTTCTAATTTTATGTCACTCATTTATAGAAATGGATCAGCTACTACCCTTTTTCCTGCTGTCCCTTTTGCCCTTTATTCAATGGCTCAGAATTAACTTTTAAAAAAAGTTAATCAACTTTTTGGTCTTTTTAACTATTTTAAACTTCCTCGTTTTTAGTCTGGCTATAATTTTTTTTAAAGAATAATTTTTTTAAAATTTTAATTTTTGATCTCTTATGATAAAATCGTAGTTAAAATGATTTTTAATTTCGTAGTTAAATTAAAAATTGTCGCTAAAACGATCATTAAATTGTAAAAACCATCGCTAAATTATAAAAGAGATAAAAAAATTAAATTTTAAATTTTTAGAAGGACTATTCTTTAAAAGAAAATTCTAAAGAATTAAAAATAAAATTTGAGATATAAAAGTGAAAGAAAAATAAATTTAATTTAAAACAAGAATGAGATAGTGAGTGAAAAATAAAAAGTAAAACCAAAAATAAAAATTAAAAAGTGTCAAATAAAAACTTAATATGTTATAATATTTGATTGAAATACATTAAATTAATTAAGAAATTAAATTTGTATTATTTTAACTTTTTGTAAATGTAATTTTTTTTTAAAATAGAGTATTATTGATAATTTAATGATAATTTATTTAAATAAATAGATAATTGATTGATTATTTAAAGTGAACGAAAATCACGTTTCTTTTTAGCGATTCATCATCCTTTATTTGTCGGTCTACTTGTCAAGAAAAAGAACACAGTCCACACAGAATTAAAGATGATATTTTAATGGTAATGGTAACCATATGTTTGTACTTTTTGGGGACCAATTTTCCGTATATTCTAGCATCTAATAAGCTGGACAGAAAACACAGTGACCAATTTTGAAAGAGTGGTAAACAATCATAATTTTTCTTTTTTATAAACTTTCATCTCTGCGTATGTCGAATTTAATTCATATATTGTAAAGATTTAAAAAGTAAAATTAAAACCAATTTTGTTATGATTATTTTTCAAATAATCATGTATACTCATTGAAAAAATTTTCATAAGAAATAATTTTACATATAATCAATCATAAAATTTTAATTAATTAAAAATAAATATAATATTTTCTCTCTTTCATAATCACACATTATAAATCCAATTAAAAAAATTAAAATATAAATATTTAAAATTTTCACTTAGTTTCCCTATTCACATTTAAAGCATCTAAAAATTCCCTTGAAAACCATTTACTTACTAGCACAAAACCAGCACACGGTTTTGCCATAATACTATACAAGAAAAGGGACCATTAGTGTTCTCTATTCACATCTTTTCATCTCAATCACTCCTTTTATTTTCAACTACAATTTCTCAAATTCAATTATTTCTTCTGACAAAAGCCACATGCATTACATGCCCAAATACGGGAATCACTTTGCTTATTTTGCTAACTTTACTCATGTGTAATTTTGCTGACTTTAATTATTTGGTCCGGTGGTTGTTGTAGGACCGGCTCGCACTCCCACACAAAAATGATGAACTGAATTGAGATTTTGGACCTGTCATCCATTAAAACTTGTCCTTCTAAAAACTACCTTTCACTAAAGTTTATCTCGTTAAAATTTATTGTTCATCAAAGTTTGTCATTCTTATTCGTTTAACTTGTTTCACCTTAAATTTATATTTTTTAGTTAATTCTACTAAGTCTAATTCTTAATGGTTTAATTTTATATATTTATTTATGAATATATGTAATATTTTTTTAAATAAATTTTGTTAAATAGAGACTTTATAAAAATTATTTTAAAAAATAAGTGAAAAATCTAATTGAAATGTAAAATCCAACCTATTAATATATTAAAAAATAAAAATTAAATAAATAAAAAGTAAGCAGATAAGATTGTCGCCCATCAACCTGTCATCTTGACAGAGTGATCTAAATTTTTATATCCATTTTAACTTGACAGACATGTTCGGCTCGCTCTTAAACGATAAATTAAAAAATATATATATTTTAATGTGAAAAAATTATTAGCTAAGAAAGATAGAGAGAAAGTCATTAAAGTCAATTAACTTCAAAGTCATTCAATCTCAATCCCCAAATTCCCCACTACTCCAAAGACTTGGGAGGATTTTGTAAGTTGGTTTTTTTTGGAAGTTTTTGTGAAATTTTTGGAATTGTTAAGAAGTTAAAGTAAGTTTATGGGAAGCGGTGAAAAATTTTGCATACTACTTTTTCGTTTTATAATAAGTGTTTTATTTAAATTTAATATGATTTTTAATAAAATAATTACATGTGATGATTTTAATAATAAAATTAGTATGATTTATTAAAATATTCTTATTTATTATAATTAGTAGAATAATTGAAAAACGTGAAAATTAATTAATAAGATATAATAATATAAAAAAATTATGTATTAATATTCTAAAAAAATATTTATTTTAATATATAAAAAAAAAGTATAAATGAGACATTTGTTAAGAGGTGGATGGAGTAGTATTTTAATGGTGGAAGACACAAAATGTAGTTTTTCTTCGTATTTTTAAGGATGATTACCATTTTATCCATGTCGTATAGACCATTTTTTATTTATTCCGTGTAAATTTTTTTTTCAAAAATAATCTTATTTTAAAAAACTAACAATTTAGTTCTTAAAGTCAAAATTTGCAGGTAAATCCAAAAGAAAATTCACAAAAAACATGTGAATTTTAATTTTAAGAATTAAAAATGTTAAGTATTTTAAAATGACAAGGTTATTTTTTATAAAAAAAAAATTTATATGAGGTAAATCAAAAATGATTTATATGACAGAGAATAAAATTTGTAATGACCCTATTTTCAATTACTCTCAAGATTTCTTTTTTAATTGTCATATTTTAATTTTTTACATATATCAAAAAAACTAATAATTATTATTATTTTTTAAATTATGATTTTTATTTATTTATAATATCCTTAACTCTTAATTATTTTAATATATTTTTTCTTTTTTATAATAAATAATTAGAAATAATTTTGACAAAACTATAATAATTACTATTTAAAATTTAAAAATGACAATTAAATAGAAATAATTTTTTTAATAAAAGTGACACAAGGAAAGGAAGGAGTATATATTTGTATATAGAATCCGACATTACCTTTGAAAAGAAAGACAGTTTTTTTTTTTTTTTACATTTATCCTTTAAAAGAAACAAAAATCACGTTTATTTGTACTGATTCTTCATTATTTGTTTATTTCTCAAGAAAAAGAACACAGTCCACACAGATTTGGAGATGATATTTTGATGGTAACCACATGTTTGTATTTTTTGGGATTAATTTTTCGCATATTCTTAGCATCTAAAATGATGCATAAGAGGGTGTTGAAAAATTTATTCAATAGTTAAATAGATATAATGAGGTGTTGAATAAATGGTTGTAAGTGATGTGGATTAATATGTATTGAAAATATTTAACATGTTGAATGAGGAGAGTGGGATCACATATAATACTTTACAAAATTTTAATGGTTGTTGTGATTGTTTAGATTTTTAATTCATCTTAATTATTTAAAATCAATTATTTTATAATAAATTTATTTTTTATTTTTTTATTTGCACCAAAATTCATCATTTTTTGTGTATAAATAAATATTTGGTTCATTTAATTTGGACACACAAAAAAAATCTATTTTTTCTCTCTATCTTTTCTATTTAACCTCCAATAAACTCTTATTTTGTCCATTTTTATTTGTTTTAAATGACTATCGCTATAAAATTTAAAAAAATTCAAATAAATTAAGAATATAAAATTAAAAAAAAATTAAAAAAATTATGTAATTCTTAATTATTTTAATTTTATTTCAATCGATAATTGATATTAATATAAAATCGTAAAAACAAAAATATAAAAGAAAATAAAAATATGAAATAAAACTGATGGGATAGAGTGTTGAATTTTATTAAATAAAACTATAGTAGTGAGTAAAAGTTAAATGAGTGTTAGGATATTAGGTGAAAGAAAGAGAAGATAACGTAGAATATAAAAAGTGAAAAAGAAAGGTGTTGAATATATAAATCATTATAGATAGGCTAATACATTGGACATAAAACACATTGACAATTCTCTTTCAAATAATAATTCGATTTTGGAGATGTGGTAAACTATAATTCTAGATCTATGCACTAATCATCATAATTTTTCTTTAGCTTAATTGTAATTTTAATATTTCTATTTTAGTTTTTTATTTCTTAAGTTTTTAGTTGTTTTAAAGCTTTTTTAGGATTTCAATCTCCCTCTTAATTTAAGACTAATTTTTAAGAGTTAAATATGTTTATGGTTTCGCTAAATATCTTAAACTTCGTTTTTAGTTTCTAAAATTTTTCTTTAAAAAATGATCTTTTTAATATTTTTCGTCCATACTTTTGATCTCTCATGTCTGTTAGTGCGTAAGGCACTTTTAGGGAGGAGAGAAAAATAGAATAATAAAGAAAATAAGGATTTGTATTATTGAATTGTACAAATAATGATATAGACTATGACTATTTATATACAACCCTAACTGGGTTTGGGTCTACACAACTTGGATTATATTTAAATATTAAATCTAATCAAATCTAATATAATCCAATATTTTAACAAATCTAATTTAATATTTCAACATACCCACATAATCCAAGTTGTCGAACATACTCTAAAAATAGTCAATCTGAACTATTCCTAACTTCTTTCTCAAATTCAGGAATCTGTCGATCTTCAATCCTTAGGTGAAAATATCGGCCAACTGTGCTTCACTCGAGCAATACATTACTTCAAGTTCACTTTGATTTACCTTTTCCCTCAAGAAGGGAAACTTTGCTTCGATATATTTACTTCTTCCATGTAGAACTAGATTCTTCGCCAGATTTATGACTGACTTGTTATCGATTCGTAACACAAGAGGTTTCTTCACTTCGATCTTCATTTCTTCAAGTACACATCTGATCC